TTGCTAGGGGCTCCTAGGCTTGGGGAGAAAAGCACTATTTTCATGATGCCCTTTGCTTCTCTTAACATATCTGCTCAAAATTTGATAAAATACTGATGGTAGACTTGGGACACCATCCTTTAAGGGATTTCCTTTAAGGGAGGCGTTGGGAATTGTTGGTAATTGTGTCAGGCAACCAACCTTCCATCCTACATTCTTTTAACAACAACAACAAAAATTGTACCCTGGAACAATCCACTTCTCTATGATTCACTTCCTTATCAAGAAGATAAGAATATGGAAACATTTCTAAGGTTCTCTGCAAGGCTGACAAATTCTTTTAACTAAGCACAGTTCATCACCCCTTTTTGCCCTCCTATAGTCACTGACAGCTTTAATTGCTTGGTCCCTGAGAAGTGAGCTTTGCCAAAATTTGAGGAAATTAATGCTTTTCTTATACTAAAGATCACTCTGATAATCAGCACAATTCCAAGGAATCCTGCTCTCCTCAAGTTCCAGACAACTTTTTAAGGATGGCTTTACAGTAACAAAGTCTTAGTATTAATCCATGTCTTCCCTATCATATTATTGTATACATCACACTTCCCTGTAAAGGGAAATTCTGATAAATGTCACTAATGATAGAATGAGGCTTGCTTTTTTTTCCCAGGCTTTTTTAGTTATTTCAGAACATGATAATACTAAAGTGTAGGTTTTGTGCAAAGTGGTTTGCTTGCTGTGATTTTCTAAAGGAATAGTCTAAGAGTGATTTTCTGTGCCAACTGGCACTAGATTTCAAAGTAACCTCAAGAACTCAGCTAAGCATGTTGCAGTTTCCTGATAATAAAAGAAAATGCACTATATGCTCACCTTCTTCATTCACACCACTGTTATCAACAATAACATCCATTATTAAAGTGAGGGGATTATAACATCCCCTAACAGTAGATCACAGCACCTCATTCATGTGAAAAGTATCAGCTCTGCTGAAAGAAAGCTTCATGGTGATCACCTGGTGGCTTTAAAATTTGTTATTTGTTATTGGAAATGAGGTAAAACTAGAGAAAGTATGTAGGAGAGAGAAGGGGGGAGGACCAAAGTTCTGTTTTTGCTTTTTCTGCCACTGACTCATAGTACGAACTTGGGTCAGTCACATATTCACACAAATGACTTAGTTTATAGATTAAAGTGAGAAAATGCTTCAGCTTCTCCATTTCAGTGTTAAGAGAATTGCTAAGATCACTTATATAAATATTTTTCTTTGAGCTCCCTAAAAGACAGGAACTTTATAAATATTTAGTATTATTGTTGTACCTTAGGCACATGTAGACAGGAAAATTATGATACTTCCAAGAAGAAATAAACTATTTCAGACCATCCGGGTTTATACTAAGAGACTACATTGGCTCCTTCCCATATGTCTGCTAGGTTTTCTTTTTTCTTCACCCCTCCCTGCCCCTTGCAGTTGACTAATGTAGAAATATAAATAAACCTTAGCAACAGAGCATTTGGAGATGAGGAAGCTCAGCTTGGGTACAGTCACACTGGCTGATGGCAAGCTGTGTATCAGAATGGATGTGGAATAAAAATAAATATTACATTTCAAATCTCTGATTGAAGAGTGTGAGAAAATGATTCATTTTAAGCATGAGTAATTGGGTTGAATGTCCTGAACTTAAATTCCCACTGAATCTCTAGTTTTGTTTGCTTTGTTTGTTTTATCTATTCATTTGTCCCAAGGATATGAGGGGAGAAAAGAAGCTAGAATGTTTAGAGTCACTCTGTTTACTTCAAGTGGAGTCTTACAAAATTAATTCACTAGTTTCTTTGTAAATTCTTGCTCAACAGGCTGTTCCTCCAACGCTTTAATGGAACTAGGTTCTGTCTGGAATGATGTTCTGGGAATGCATACAAGGGTTATTTTTGGAGAGTGGAATTTCAGGTGATTTTTTTTTTTTTAGTTTACTTTCTTAGTCATACTTTTTTGCATTTCCTGTGTTTCTTTAAATTTTAGCAAAGTTTCATTTTTATAAAAAAACAATAGTTTTTTTCAAAACTAATTTTGAAACCCCTTAATATTGATTTCATTCTCTGACTAAACTCTACCACTGAGCTACATGTCCAATCCTTTCTATTTTATTTTGAGACAGGATCTTGCTAAATTGCCCAGGTTGTAATCCTTCTGTCTTCTCCTTCCAAGTATCTGGGCTTACAGGCATGCACCATAGACCTGATTTCTTCTCTCTCTCTGCTTTCCCCTGTTTCTCTTTAATTGACAGTGCTGGGATCTACTCAATGCCTCACAAGTACTAAGAAGATGCTCTACCACTGAGCCATATTACAAGTTCCCTTCCTGCTTCTCGTGCAAATTTAAGACAAGAAGTAATACTGTAATTGTTTTCTAACTGGGGCAACTGAGTCCCACATGCAACTAGAGTGTAGAGTTGGTTTTGATCTAGGGAGCTCAGCCTACAAAACAGACAAAATTTTCAATTTTATCTTAAGTTACTGGGTTAAGCCAAATCAATATAGAGTGGGTCTTTAGAGCATGAATTATGGTAATAATATTTACTGATATAATCTCAAGATGAATACTCTAGTCTGATATCTCGAATACTCAAAGCTAGAAGCAATGTCAGTTACAGCAAAAGACAATCCACACTCAGTGATCTTACTTGATAAAATAATTGAAACTATTTATACCTTTATCTTTGGGTTAGCCATGGGCAGTCCATTCTATTTTGGCTTCAGTACCAGTGCAGAACAATTAATCATATATGGGGCCTATGCTATCCCTCCATGATCCAATGTTGTTGAGATTTCCAGAAGGATCAGAACATGCATCTATTCACTCTTCCTACAAATATTTATTGAGTACTTCTTGTGTGCCTGTCTGTATTCTGGGCAATGGGGTTAAAACAAGGAACCAGATGTGGTCCCTGACCAGGAGGCTACTGGAAAAAAACAAGCATATAGACAAGAAGTGTCTGCACGCCATATGTCTCTGGGACAGAACATTCCTGACACCATCACACAACTGTCAAGTGTGGAAGAGGATGGAGGGGAGAAAGAAAAAACATGGCAGAGCAGAAATCTGAAAAGGCACTGAGATGTGAAACAGTGTGGCTCTCCACTGAGATCCTAAAAGTGATTTTCATATGTCCAGAGGCCAATGGATGAGAGGAGAGTAATAGAAGGGAAAGCCAGAAAAGTAAATGGGAATCAAATTCTAGAAAGCCTGACATCATTTTGTTTTTATAAGGAGACAGAAAATATCCTGGTGGATGTGAATTTGAGGTTTACATAAGGAACCCCAAGAAGCAGATAATAGTCATTTATTGGTTCCAGGCTCCTGCATGCTAGGAATAAGGAAAGCCCACAAAATAGGAGGTTTGCCAAGATCACCTTGTAGTATCATGAATGCCCTGAAATTCCTGCCTAGAATAGTGAATGGCTGCTCAATATGAGCGTGCCTCCTCTGGAACCTCAACCCACACCTCTTGACCTCAGTGTCCCCCATTTTATTTCTTTCTCTCCACGTCCTTCCTTTGTGTCAAGGCTGAAGCCAGTGGCAGCAGTGGAGTTCCTAGTGACTATGGCAACCCAGTTCCAGGGCTGCCACCCTTGGGTTGCTGGCAGATGTTGCTGCCCCTGTTCCCAGTGGGTCCTGTTGGAGCAACAGCACCAGCAGCTCCCCTTATCCTAAAGTTTCCGGATCACTCTTCTCTGATATTGGTACTGTCACTGGATAAACCTGTGGACCTTGATCCCTTCTCTCCTTGGGACAAATCCTTTTCTAGGCAAATTCCTGAAGCCCCTGGTGAGCAGATTCATGTACAGGTTGCCTTTTAGACATGGTCACATGTGATTAAATCCTTAGATTAACAGTTTAGATGCCTGCTGATGCTTTTGGAAAAATTATGGGGAAAGAAATTGGAAGATAAATCAGGAGTCAGAAAAAACAGGCTGGAATATGATAACTTGAGGACAGAGAATAAGAAGTATGGTGGCTTGTGCGGAGCTTCAAAATCTGAAGTAAATAGTAGATAGTTGTAGTATTCCTCTTATCCATGTTTTTATTTTGATGTCCTCTCACTTGTTTTTTATATTTTGTTGTAAGATACCTTATAACTATTTTTTCGAAAGATGGCAGAGTATACATAAATGAATAAAGACGATCATTTACATCTGCCATATGGAGTATTCAGCATTCTCAAGACATGAGTGTTGTGTTCAAAGGTGGAAGCAACAAACAGAGCAACATTTTGATACACATGCCTAGGGCCAGAATTTGAAATATCAGAAAAAGAGGATTTCAAATAAAAATCAACCATGACCTACTCTGTGCATGACAAAGTAGATAGAATTTGTGCCATCACAACCAAACTGAACCAAATCAAAGCAAAACAAATCCAGGCAGAAGGCAAACATTCTTATGACTTGATGTGAAGAACAAGATTTGGGACCCCAAGGGCTAAAGCCTGAAAGAAATGCACTGGGGGAGGTACACAGCTTCATCCATGGGGACTTGGGCACTTCGGAATACAATGGTTCTGGAAAAATTCACCTCAAGGATACGAGGAAGGAGGCTTTCTCTCAGCTTTCTCTCCACCACACTCCAGGGCAACCTCTTTGCTTATTCAACTCCTTCTTCCTCTGTTAAATGTTCTTTTCAATCCCAGTTTCCCATTCTTTCCCCAGGAATCCCTACCCCCAACCCTCTTCTCCAAGGCTTTTCCCCAACTAGGACTCTCTCCTCCCTCTTTTTCCCTCTGCTCCTGGCCCCTGGTCTCAGCTTTTGCCTCTTCCTCTCTTGTTTCAGGAAGCCCCTCGCTTTCCTTACAACCCAACGGGGACCAAGTCCCGGGTAGGGGGCGGCAGGTGGATCGCGGAAAAGGCCAGGCAGCACCAGGGTGGGTAGATAGGACTGGAGGGGACCTGATGCGCGGGGCCCGCCACCCGGGGCGGGGAGAGCAGGTCCTGCCCTCCCAGGCTGGCGCGCACGGCCGGCCCCAGGGGCGGTCCCAGTCCTCCCGCTCTCTGCTGCTCCTCGTGCCTGCTCCTCGTGCCTGCTCCTGCTGCCCAGTGGCTGGAGCCCAGGTGCCGGCGGGCAGGAAGCGCCGGAGGATGCACTGCTGGCCGCTGTTCTTGCTGTGGGGGCTGCTCCCCTGGAAAGGCGCGGGGGGCTCGGGCCGTTCCTTCCCTCACCACACAGTCCTGGACTCGGAGGGCAAGTACTGGCTGGGCTGGGGCCAGCAGGGCAGCCGGCTTGCCTTCCGCCTCGAGGTGCGCACGGCCGGCTATGTGGGCTTCGGCTTCTCGCCCACCGGGACCATGGCCGCAGCAGACATCGTCGTGGGCGGTGTGACCCACGGGAGACCCTACCTCCAGGTAAGAGAGTTCCCTCCGGCTCCCGCCCCGCCAAGGTGGTCCAGTCCCTATCCCGAGGAGAGCGCGGGTGCAGGCTACCCTGGGGCCACCGGGTCTCGCCTCGGGCGAGTTTGGAAACCCTGGGTCCCTGAAGCCCCGCGCACTCTCACCTTCGCGGTCAGGTTCTGCATCAGCGGAGCGGACGGTGCTCGCGCCTCCCTGGCGCTCTGCGTTCGGAGTTTTTGCCCCGGGAAGCTGAGCACTGTGAGCTCAGGCAGTTTTCCTGCTCTGAACACTTTCCTGCCCCAGCTCCCACTCAATAAATCTCCCACGTACACACCTGCCACGCAGCATCCCCATTTATTCCGGATGGGAAAGGAGCGGGACCCCCAACTTTGGAGACCTAAGGGACTGCTCTGGGCGAGGATCCGGGGAGAAAGCTTGCTATTTTGCGGTCTTGCTGTCTAGGGTTGGGAATCTCAGAACGTCCCTATTGCTGGCTATGTTGGAGCCTCCAGGCGCGGGGCTGATGTTAGCTACTTTATCCGGAGAGATTAGTAAAAGAAAGGTCCTTAAGAATCGCTTAAGGAAGTTTGTTATCCCAAGTGTTGTTTAGGAAACTGCAGACACCTTCATTATCTAAGATCCTCAGACAAAGTCCCCTTTTAAGTGGTACACAATTACGTTTATTCTAAGAAGCAGCAAACTGAATTGATTTGCTTTGCTGTAGATTTGCTTGGGGGGTAGAGGGGGCCGTGCAGAAGCGATGCTGCCTATTCATAGGTGTCACGAAGCACAGGGGAAAGACAGATCAGAAAGATTAGAATGACTGACTGGTTAGGTTTCCTGGACATCATTGTTTGATCCTGACCACCTTTGGATTGTGGTGAATGTACACTCTTTGTTAAACAAAGGATCTCAAAACACTACCCTTTGTAGAAAGTCCATATGAAAATTTCAATTGTTCTGACACTGTCTTAAGGCTTTGATAGTATGAAAACCAATATTCCTGATGGATTTCTGAATATATTTCTCAGTAAATTTATCCCAACTTCTAAGTTCGATTTCCACTATGTGCTGAGGTGCCATCACATTTGAACCCCTGATCTTGACTTTGGCTAAAAATAAAGTGACAGCAATAAAATCTCAAAACCATCCTATTATCTTTTTTTTTTTTTCATAAATTCACTGTTTCCTCCCCAAGGAGCTAGTTATTCTACGACGACTCCAATAAAAGAAAGTTTTATGAGGACTGCATTCTGCTAAAGTCACTAATGTATAAATTTTCTTCTTCTGCACTATCTCAGGCTTTAAATTTCTGAACCACGGATTTGATCCCCAAACATGGTCCTCATGGGCTGAAAGACTCACTCTTCTGTGATATAAAGTAGACAATACTTAAATACCCATTTTAGCCTATTGTAGGGTGAGGAGTATAAGGCCCAGCAACTACCCTTTTATGTTCCTAGAAGAGGGCATGAGAAATCTTACTATGGTAATATTGTACAAAAAGGCATAGTTTAAAAGTTAACTTGCTATTATTTTTGTCAAAGAGTAGCATTTCTAGAAAGTCTACCCAATTTGATATCAAACAATTAAGAGTAAGATCCTGACTCAGCTTGCCTTAATGGAACCACCACAAACAGACTTTACAAACTGCAGAATATTTTCACATTGATGGTGGTTCTTTATAAAGATTGCATAAGACTCAATTAAGTGCTTTTTAGATTGATGTTGAGACATGAAACTTTTTTAAAAAATAAATTGTTAATATATATAAATTGTTATTATATACCACTGTGACATAATCAAGAGCTGGGCACTTTCTCAATATACTTAATGAGCAAAGAAAAAAATGAATTTTCTTCTTTATTTTTTATTCCTCATGATATAAAATCCTTATTTTCATATAGAAACGATTTTTCTCACTTGACCAACATCCTTTACCTTTCCATTTCCTTAAATATTCTAGTGATTTTAAAAATATTAAATTATGCTAATCAGTAAAATGAAGGGTTTGCTTAAAATACTTAAAAACTCTGGTTACATGAAAAATACTAAATAATGTAAAATACAAGAAATATATCAATTCTAGCAGGATCATCCAGGCTATGTGATTCCATTTTTCAATGCTTGAGTTTTCTCCTTAGATACTGTTTGAGATTCTTCACACAATATGTGATAAGATCATCTTTAGCAACTATACCAAAAATAAATAGGATTCTTAAGTACAACCTATATGATTTCATTAGATGACTTTGGATTTTGTATAATTTTTCTCCCAGTGAAAACAGACATTTTGTGGAACAATGAAAAAGGCTTAGTTCCTGGGGTATCAATGTAAGTGCAGCAGCCACAGAAGGACAATGGCATCAGGCTATATGATGTGACACAAGTTGACATCCCAGTCATGCCATTTGTGCCTTTTCCACATATATTTTCTTTCATCCTTTTTTACATAATTTTAAACTTCAATTTCAGATCTTTTAAATTGTTCTTTTTCTTTTTCTAATGAGATGCACTAAACTTGAAAACTGTATTTAAGAGTAAATTCTAATTGATCAGGTAGGGAATGGTTGACTAAATAGCCTAAATGCTTATAGAGGTCAGCAGAGAAATGGGTGGCATGGGATTGAGTGGACCAGGCAGACTGCAACAGATAGTAGACAGCTTTGAGGGAAAGTTTTTGCAAGTGAGTTACTGTTATGGGGGAATGCAAACTCAATGTTGCCAGATTGTTTGTTTTATTTTTGAGAAAAGACAGAAATTCATATTGTGTGTGTGTGTGTGTGCGCGCGCGCGCGCGCGTGTGTGTGTGTGTGTGTGTGTGAGAGTGAGAGAGAGAGAGAGAGAGAGAGAGAGAGAGAGAGAAGAGGGGAGGGAGGGGAGGGTAGGAGAGGAAAAGAGAGGGCGTACAAGATAGAGAGAATGTAAAAATACTCTGATTACTAAATAATGACAATAATTCCAGTTTGTACAAAGTGTGAACAGTTGCGATATATCCCATAGACAATCTATTTGGGGGCCAAGATGAAAAAAGTTAAGATTAATAAAGAATCAACGCAAATTATGAAAACCCATGAAAGACAGAGAGGAAAACCCTGTTTCTTTTTGGACCAGATTTATTCTTTGTCAGGAAACAAGTCCAGTGTCAGGGACTCTTGCCCATTATTTTGGCTATCAATTCTTGTATAATGAACCACACCCAAAACATAGTATTTTTAATATAGTGACCCTTATTTTGCTCAGGGGTCTGAAATGTGAGCATGGCTCGGTGAGGACAGCTCTTCTTTGCTCCAGTCTGTATTGACTCCAAAAGCAGTGGTTGAAAGTACCTGAAGGCTGCTCACCTGAATGTCTGACTGGCGGTTGATGTTCACTATTGGTGGGATTTGGGTGGGATTGTGGCCTCTCTATGTGGCTCTTTAGCATCCTCAAATGCACAGTGGCTGGTCCCAGGAGTGAACATTCCAAAAAATCCCTGGCAGAAACTGAATAGCAATTGATGACTTAGCCTTTGAGTCATACTGTGTGTCTTCTGCTCTTGCCACAGGCTCACCAAGTCAAGGAGCACAGACACCACCTTAACATCATGGGAATGGAATATGTTAGTGTGGCTTTCCTTGGAAAATACCTTCTATCACACCCATCCTTACCACTTGCCAGAGTCTCCTTCACGCCACCAATTTCTAGTGCCTGTGTACATGTATCCATTCTCTTTCCATTATGTTAAATGGAGAGGCAATGTTTACTTATTCACTGGTTCCCCCCCCCGCATATAAACCCCCACTCTCAAGAGTTAGTGAACACATGTATAACTAATTAGAACAAATAAAAATATATATAAAATGAAAGAGTTGGTGAACGGTTGGTAATTTTTCCACTGCCCTATTCCCTACTCCTTTGGCCTCCTCCCCTCACGCCCTCCCTCCAGTAAGAGTTCTGAACTTTGGCAGCCCCATAGTTTTCAGTGGTGGCCAATCACTAGTTAAGGGTCAGGTCCAATGAGACTACCTGTAGAGGGCAGTGTGACATTTGCCTGTAAGCTTAAGGAGTTAACAAGTTTATTTTTTAAAAAAGTTTTTGTAGTACTGGGGATTGAACTCAGGGCCTAGCTGTAGCCCAGTCCAGGCTTATGGAGGTAAAAAGTCAGATTTTGAATTTCCTTGCATCAAGGCAGCAAACTTGGCCTAGAAGCCTGAAACTAGAAGCCTGGCATAATTATGAAAATTTGCCCTGCCCATTTTATAACCTCTCTGACCCTGCCTGAGGATAGTACCTCTAAGGGTGGGTGACTAGGTGACATCAAAAGGGAGAAAAAAGAGAGAGAAAGAGAAAGATTCAGGTGTGAAACCTGTCTTGGTGTAATCTACCCAATACATTGTTCTGGAGCAGCATGGAAACTTCCCCTCTAGGATGCTGCAAAGGTCAGCCTAGATGGGGGCCTGGATGTGGAAAGCAGTCTGTCTTTTTTGCCTTGGTTTTCTGGAACCTCACTCTTTTGTCACAGTGAATCAGCTCAACTCATTTTCCTGATGGATCCGTGTCCTTTCCTTGTTCTTTGCCCCTTTTTGACAGAGCAACTCCACCCCCACACGAACCATTAAGCAACTGTGAGTGCCCATTTGAGGCAAGTAATCTGGGCTATGAATGCCCAGCCTGTGTGAGGGAGAGAAGAGAGCAGCATTGTGGGATGTGCCTGTTGAATTTGCACAAAAATGGATTCACCCTTCCTATGGGGGTATAAAGCACTCATGAATGGAGGCTGAAACATATGTCATCATTTGTTATAGCCTTGCTTGTTGGCTGTCTCAAAACCGGAACCCTTTCTCTGCAGAGAAGTGTCTTCAGCCGCAGAGTAATTGCTGCCGGGGCTACTCTCTGAGGAAGTGCTGGGAACTGATTTGAAATCACAGAAAACAGTGAGCATTCTTTGTGGTTAACGATGTGCTTCTTTTAAGCACACCCCAGCCAACGGCAACAAAGAAATGTTTGCAAAGCAAATTGAAAGCTGTAAGGGA